CATTATTGTTATTGCTGCTTGTATCAAGTGTTTTTAATTGTATCAAGCGTTTTTAATTACGTCAAGTGGTTTTACTTTAGTCAAGGGCTTTCACTTTAGTCAAATAGTCAAAATGACCCTGGTGAGAAACTACCTTTAGTCAATACTTTAGTTACGTCAATGACTAAAGTCAAAAGTTTCGTCATACATCATTATTGCCACCAAATATGTCTCTAGATAATTTTACAGATATTCGCCGACTAATCTTTTAAGTAACCAAATTTAATATTTAATACTGCAAAAATTTTGTTATAATTCTATATTTAGTATAGATACAAATATAGCAAATAGCAAGTTGAAATCGAATCCAAAGTTGAGGGGGAGATATCATGGGAATTTGAAAAATAAATTCCAAAAATAAAGAATAAGAAGCTGGTTAATACTATGTTCTTTTTTATTATTATTGTTAAACAGATATTAATATTGATACATACAGTCAACCCTGTCACTGCTGTAAAAAGTCATTGTCGACAATAAATAAAATAATAAAATTATTTATTGAAATATTAATCTTTCATTGTTACCTTTTTTTTCAATGATCTAAAGGCTTTGAATTTTTATAATCTATTTCTATATCACCTTGTTGATGAAAATCAAAAGCTGTCACAAAGGCGATTACAGCATTTTCTGTTGAAACTTTAGGTGCAATGTTACTCTCAACAATTTCTTCCTCTTAAGCTGGATTAAAAGAGGCCATTATTTCTTCCTCAACCTCTGGAGTCACTAATGTCTATGAATATGGCTCTTACCTTGCTTACATTCTGTTTTGCCTCGATATAATGCTTGATTTTTATGGTGGACATCATTAGCGTTGGCTGCGATGGAAATCTTTTATTAATAAACAGAAGGTCTTTGATATTCTGTGCAAGAGAATAACAAATAGTAATGGTGACAGTACTGTTGTTGCATTTGGGTGATGATAAATTCTCATCAACATCACGTGGGCATGCTCCAGGTCCTGTAAAAGAATTTTGCCGAGAGCTTTCTAGACACTGCAAGGTGGTGAACATTGATGAGTTCCATACTTCCTCAGTCTGTTCTTTGCGTGATGGGTGGTTTGATAATCATCAAAAATTCTGGTCCGTCAGAGTCTGCAAATCAGTCTGTCTGACACATTGGAATCAAGATGTTGATGCTGCCCGTAACATAAGGAACATTTTTTTGCACGCAAACACTTATGGAGAAAGAGATCTAATCCATTTATAATGGGGACTTACTGACCTCTCTGTTGCCATTTTAACTGTGGCAGGATATGTCTAGCTGGTGGCAATACCAGCAGCAATGATGACTTTCTATGAAGCCACAATTAGCTATAGGGAGGATCTGGATCTTCCTGATTTAGTGTAATAAGGTTTACTTGTTATATATAGTTATAATAACTAATACAAATCACATGATTTTTTAATAATGAAATTTTTTATAAAATCATATTATTATTATATCAATATTATTACATCGATATTATTACAATAATTACTATACTATTAATTCATTCATTCAAAAAGGTTCAGCTTTGATAGCTGGTCTGTAAACATGAAGATGAAAATCTCGTCCTTGTATGTAATTCCCATCATCACTTTTTGTTATAGTGGTTATAACCACTATCATAGTTAGCCTTATTATAGTAATTGCTGTTAACCTTACTATTGTTATCACTATTATTATTATAGTTTGCTGGAGTCGGTTTCAAAAATTCGGCCGCATCTTGCATGAGTCCCAATTCAATTCTTTCCGCTTCTTTTCCAGATAGTTCTTCTTCCACAAAAAAGCCAAGTTCATTCTTAATATTTTTATGAGAAGAACAAGGTTCGGCAACCGGATCCTTATCTTCAATGAAATCATTCAAAAGCCTATCATTGTCCACAGGTGTCCTTCCAATTGACATTTGATAATATTCAAGTTGTTCAGCTATAATATCAATCTCGGATGTTCTAATCTCATCATACAAAATCTTAAATACAATGGTTGAAATGTGATCTTTGGCATCTGTTTTAGTCACAGACCCTTTCGAAGGATTAAATTTACGCTTTCCAACAATAAGGGAAAGATAATACAAAGCATCAGTGTCAAAGAATGATTCGTTTCCTATAATATCAGCGTTGGAACTAGTAGTGGCAGTGTTGATTGAGACGGTAGTGGTGGTGGTTGTGGTGGTAGCACCAGCAGAATTGGCTGTTAATGTAGCGCTAGCAGAATCAGCTATCGCTTTTGCTATAGCAATATAATCAATACAATCACCAGTATTAATGTTTATTGATGATGCTGATGGCAGATCAATGTCTACAAACAATGGAACACCAAGATTATATTTTAGCATAAATCGTGCCAAGAGAATCCTAGGCGGTGGTGTTGACTGTGGTAGTGAATCAGGAATAATGGGTATGCCGAGTTGTTGATATTGTTGGTTTAACCAAATCTCACATGGTGGTAATCCGTTTCCTGGCAAGGTAAAATGAGAAATTTGTCTAACACCTTTACCAAACACCGATTTCTTTGGCCCCAACTTGTAATTGAAAATAAGTGTACGTTGGATGTGAAGCGCTTGTTTTCTGTAAGTTTTTGTCAGATATTTCAATGCCACTCTGGATGCATCCTCTTTAGCATCCCGTTTCCTCCCATGTGTAGTTTCTGATTGCCAACACTGGAAATCATACCTTAATGTGCACCTGAATTGACATTTTATCAATTTCTCGAATTCATATAGTGGTCCAATAGGAAGATTTAGTTTTTGATGAAACATCAATACAATTCCTGTTGCTGAAAATCTTGATTTTACTTTGGAATATAAATCCATGTCACTTGAATCATCATCATCATCATCAACATTATTGTTATCATTGGCTTGATTGGTTTGATTAATTGTTTTTTCTACTCTTTTGATATTAGGAGAAGGAACAGGCGGAAGAGAGGTAATAATAGGATTGTTAACAAGTGGAATAGGATGATGATGAGAAGCAGAAATTGTATCTTTTATATTTCTTGTTATTTCCATTTTTTGTAAAGAAAAATCATAGGAATCTTTTTTAAATAATGACTACTGTTTACTAATATAGACAAAAAAGGCTATAATGGCAATAATAATAAAATAAGATTATTTACACAAGAATGGTTTTCCTGTCAAACAGAGAAATTCACAAGGTTATAAAAAATAATAAAATCTAAAGTTTTTTTTTATTGTTTATAATACATACAGAAGAAAAAATACTTTACACAAAGAAAAAAAAAAGAAAGAAAATAAGAAATTTAAATAGATGAATATATAATTAATTATTTATTTATTCTTCAATAAAAATGAAAAAAATGAAAATTTTCTAAAATAAAAAAAAATAAGTTAATAATAAATGATGTAAAAAAGAGCAAAAACAAAAAATATTTTTTTTAAATAAATCTATAAAAATAATTTACAATGTTAATCGAAAAATATTTACAAAAAAAAACAAGAAAAATTTTTCTGATTGAACAATTTTTAAAATTAAAAAAATAAAAGAATATACCTACAACTCCAATTGTCCATTAAAAAATTTGAAATATATTTTTTTGGTTCAAACCAATCAATACCTAATAAACAACACTCTTCAATCCCAAGAAAAACCCCCAAAATACTATAATATTCATTGTATCTATTATAAATACTAGTAGAAAAATTTGTTGTTGTTGTTATTATTATCATTATTAAACATTTTTCCAGAACCATATTTAGAATTTGATCCATATCCGTTCATATTATTTGTAAAGCGACTGGAATTTGATCCAAAACCCCCTCCACCTATTTGGTTTTGAACAAAATTTCCCATTGATGATGATGCTGGTGATGATAATGGTGGTGGTAGCGGTGAGTTAGCATAGCCAGTTGGTAAAGCAACATTATATCCATTTGATATCAATTCATTGTAAGCGTGTTGTGGCATTGGCTGTATTTGTGGTGGTGGTATTCCATGATATCTAGTTGGAATTGGGCCGGAAAATTCATTTGGAGACGATTCATTAAATTTGCTACCTAACATATTATAACCATCAGACGAATGATGATGATGATGATGATGATAACGATTGTTATTATTGTTGTTACTATTGTTATAGCCTCCAGGCGAAGGATATATTCCAGGCGAGCCGTAAGTTATGGGTGTATTATAATGAGCTGTTGGACCATATCTTAAAGGAGTATCATATCCAGTTGGTGAGGCAAATCCACTATTAGAACCATAACCATATTCACAATAAGATGTTTCTGGTGCAGAATAACTGCCAGAATCAGATAAAGAGCTATAATATTCATAGTCCGAAGATGGCGAATTAGTAAACCTTTTGTTACGACGTCCAACAGGTGATTGGAGTCCAAGTTCTCTCATTATTTTTTCTTCGCGTTCTCTTTCTTCTGAGAGCATCATTTCAACTTCAGTTACATCAACAGTACTGTTCAATGCTGCTGTGCCTTGAGATATCATATCTGACAACTTTTCATTAACTTTAAGCAACAACTCGTCTTGATCCATAGGTCCTCCGCGCCCATTATTTGTTCTTTGTGTACTTTGAAGTTCAACAGAAGAGGTTTTTCGTCGGAGTAATCGTCGACCACGACGTACGCGAATTTGTCTACGGCGTGTTGGTGTAGCAGGGACAGATGAAGTATCTGTTGATTGATCTTCATTTTGAGGGATTGAAAATGATATTTTTTTGGGTGATGTTGAAATTTTAGGTAAGTTTGCAATATTTTGCTGACCTGTATTGTTATTTGTTGATGTTGCAGGCTAAGAAAATAATAATAATAATAATAATTATTATTATTATTATTATTATATTATTATTTTGATTTTATTATTAACAATAAGACATATATTTAAATATTTAAATATTAAACTAACCATAGTCCAAGAACTATCATAAGGTGGTGGTGGTTCATCTTCATCGTTAACTGACCAGGAACAAGAATCTTTTCTATCATGTCCATGATTTATGTTACGAGTATTATTTTTATTAATTTTGATTTTGTTGTTTGTAGATTTATTATTATCATCATCTTCTTCAAGGTCACTATCACTTAACTCATCATCATTTAAATCTGTTTCATCACCATCCGCAATCGTCAATACATTATCTTCTTCATACATATCATAAAATGAGTTATTGCTATGATCGTCTTCATCTGTCTTTAATGTTTTATTAAATGTTTGATATGCTTCAGAAGCTACTGCAGAAGTATATGCTGCTATTTCGGTAAGTTTGTATAAAAAACTTGTTGTCACGCTACTCTTTTGTTTTGCATTTTCTAAATTTTTGTTATTATCATTGATATTATTATTGTTGCTATTACTATGACTACTACTACTATGACTACTATTATTAATATTATTATTATTATTATTACTAAATTTCAAATTCTCTTCAGTCGACAACGTCTTGGTTATTATTTGCTTTTGTTGATTTATTTCAATATTTTTTCTTGTATTTTTTGTTTGTGAATTAATCCCTTTTACGTGGGAAGTTGACTGCATTTTTTTTTTTTTTTTTTTGATTCAAAAGAAAAGAAAAAAAAATTTGTTTGAAAGAAGATTAATATATAACATTACATTAAATACAAACAAAAAAATGGTATAAATATAAATAATGTCACAAGGAAATTAATTACAGGGGCAAAAATTCTTGTCCGTTTTTTCAAGAAGCTCCAGATATATATAGAATAATATTAAAAATCCAAATTAAAATGTGAATTGATATTCGTGTAACATTATGGAAATCGGTCTTTCTAAAAAGGAGCACCAACAAATAACTTTTTTGAGAAAACCTTAAATTATAGTGAAAGATCGATCAAAATAGAAACGGATCTCGGGGGAATCAAAATATAAATTTGTGCTCCTTATTTTAGAGAACGCTCGTCTCGAAAATTTTCTCCAATATCTTTAGCATAACCCACATCAAGTTGTTTTTCCAATGACCAACTTCAATTAGCGATTTTGCAAAATAACGAACGCTTTATAAAAATATAACGATTTCTATTAAAAAAATAATGCAAGGTAAGCGTTTAGTCACAATGTTAGTAAAACATGTTAAATATGTAATTAGTATTCGTGTATTTTTATTTATGCATTCGTATGAAATTTGGAGATGTTTCTCAATAACTTACTTACATATTAAAAATTGGCCCTTTTGGTAGAAAAGGTATTGGAACATGTGTAATCATGGTTTTGTAACCTCCTAGAAATGACGTCATTACACACAAATAAATATCAGATTTACTTAATTTTCTAGTTTTTTCCAGTGATTGTTGTTTGTTTGTATTTGTTGGTTGTTTCCGATGATCATAATAATAATAAAAATTTGTGTGCTGGTTTTCCATTTGGGACCTAAATTATTCCTCCCCCCGAAAAATGAAAAATAAATTTTATTGGATATTACTATATATAGTTTCAATGTTTGTGCGTTTTCTTTCTTCTACATTTGGTAATTTTACCGTTTAATATGTATCATGTAACAACTAATTTACATCAATTAGATTGATAGGTCAAATTTCAAGCCAATCGTTCAAGATTAAACAAGATGGCTGATCATCAACAATTTTATTATGAATGGACCTTTTTATAATTAACATCAAGTGAAACACCACGAGGATTTTTCTTTCCGTTTTTAATTTCTCTTTTTATAGCAAACAAAGATACAAAAAATACGTGTAGGATGGAAGGTTCGTAACAAAGACTTTCTCTCTTTTAATAATTTTCTTATTTTAATAATACCATTTATCTACTCTTTGTCTACACCACCTATTCAACTCTATCTTTTAGCATAACCATTTCCAGTAAAATTATATTATTAAAACCAGGTTTGGTCGAAGAATTTTGTATGTTCCTATTCAGAAAACAATCAGTAAACGAATGACAGAAACCCGAGAACAATACATATTAATATTAATATGTTTAACGGATAATATTTTCTTGGACTATTTCCTATTAAATAAATAAATAAACAAATGTTTTAAAACTATTATTTGCCTACTTTACATTGTATTATATTGTGTATAAATCATCAATCTTCTTGATCTTACTTCACCTTTTAACTAATAGAAAGCATATTTAAGAAAAATATATCTATTTTATAACAAGTTTTTAATCACGTTTACTATAGCCAACTTTTAATATTAATCAATCGAGAATACAACGTGATAACGGATGCCCACTATATTTAGATCAATAATATTATTGTTGTTATTATAAGGGATAAAATGTCATATAAGAAACGAGAATAAGTTAATTACACCAGTGCCCATGAACTATAATATGCAAACGATCATAAGCTGACTATTCTGCTAGTACCTGTGACCAGGGTTGATTACACCAGTGCCTATGAGCCATATAAGAATGATCATTTGGTGGGAAGAATTATTATCATTAAAATATCAATGATTTGATTAATTCAATACAAAAATATTAATATGTAATGATAACGAAATTCGATCCGAATCACCAGTGTTGATTCATTTCATTTGAATCGGGCACTAATCTGATTCAAATCAATTTATACTGTCTAATCTATTTAAAGTTATTTCAATAAATTGTAATTTGATTAGAATCTGATCAATATATATTAATATGTACATATGTAAATAGAAAAAAATGAAAATTTTATTATTATAATGGTTATTTGATAGTTAGGCCTTTTTAAGATTTGTATTACTTTATTTTGTTGCTATAAAAACAAATAAACGTAAACAAAGATTTACTTAATTCAAAAAAATGTCTTTTAATAAATTATCACAGGAAAGAATACAATTTGTGCGTAAAGCTTATTTTGAAATATTTAATAATGCTATGTCAATTGCACAAGATGTTTATAATAATAGTTCATCAAATTCATCAAATATATCTCCTATAAAAATTCGTAAGAATACATTTTTATCATTAGTAGATAGAGACAAAAAACTTTTACCAAATGAAAAAGAATATTGCAAGAAAAGATATACTTATGATGTCGAATTACAACATGCAATGCACAAAGATGGCATACAAATAGAATGTAAAAAATGTAATGCCACAAGATATTCAACTAAATTTTGTGAAAACTGCATTAGTCTTCATTTACAAAAATTTTACAATACTTGGACTTCAGGAAATAAAGCTGTTGATAATTTTATTCAAAAATGCCAAAAACTCTCAGCTCTTCCAAAAAATATAATGGAATGGATTACATTCGATCAATTTGAAGATTTGGAATATTTATCTAAGGGAGGATTTAGTAGTATTTACAAGGCAACATGGACAAGAGGATATATAGATGATTTTGATGAAAATAAAAATGAATTAAGTCGTCGTGGGGCACAACATGTAGTATTAAAATGTTTAGATGATTCAAATACTATTGGAAATAAATTTTTTGATGAGGCTAGTAGTAATTTCATTTAAAACAAAATAAATAATTTGTATAATATTAAATTAATTGATTTTGTTTATATTTCCAGGCATTGAATTATTGTAAAATTAAAACAGATATGATTATTAATTGCTATGGTATAACTAAATTTCCCAATGGAAATTACGCAATGGTTCTAAGTTATAGGCCAGAAGGTGATTTGAGAAATTATTTACGAAAGAACCATTCAAGATTAACTTTAAAAGATAGAATTACACTTTTTAGATATTTATGTAATTCATTATATTATATACATGAAAATGATTTAATACATTGTGATTTACATAGTGGTAATATACTAGTAGATGCAGGTAATTGTTTTATTACAGATTTAGGGTTATGTGGACCAGTTGATGATAAATCATCAAATGAACTTTGTGGGATCATACCATATATTGCACCTGAAGTTTTTAATGGGAAAAAAAATACAAAAGAATCAGATATTTATAGCATTGGAATGTTAATGTGGGAAATATTTGCTGGTCATCCACCATTTGATAATAGAGCTCATAATTCAGATTTATGTTTAGATATTTGTGATGGATTAAGACCAGAAAATTTGCCAGGCATGTCAGAAGATTATAAACAAATGATGCAAAGGTGTTGGGATGGTGATCCATCTAAAAGACCAACTATCGGAGAACTTTGGAAGTTTGCTAGCGAATATTTAATAAAAGTTTGTAAAAATAATAGTTGTGGTGTTAGTAGTGGTGGTAATAATGATAATATCAAAAAAATAATCAAATTTGTCAAATTTCCAAAAAGAAAAAAACCAACACCTAATGACAATAATGATAATTCTATCGATGATAGTAATTTACAATCGGAAAAATATGAAAAACATCCACAAGCATATCATACAAGTAGAAGACTCAGTGTCATTAATTCTAGTTATGGAACAATATACGATCCTAGTATTCCATTAATATTTGAACAAAGTACAGAAATCAATATTATTACTGATTGATTGATCGTAAATATTTATTATTTAAATAATAATTTTTTTTCAATTCATGAAGATATAGAAAATGTCATTGTAAGCAATGAACTTGAAAGGTAAATGAAAGCTGACGATGAAATTAAAATAATTGAATAACTATCTATAATTTTATAATTATTATTTTTTAAATCTTATTATTAAATATGATGCGTGTGAATTTTAAATTTGTGTACTTTTTAGAATTATTTAAACTTTTGATTGGCTAGTTTAATTTTCACTCAAAAATAAAAATAAAAATAAAAGTAAAAATTTCAAATGGATAAAACAAACAAAAATCATTTCTTAAAACAAAATGTCATTTTCTTTCTTGTATAAAATGGTTTTTTTTGTGTTGATTGATATTAATCCTTGACTAACGAAAAAATTTTATGAGATTCCTTTTAATAATTAAATTAATTATAGTGACAGTCATAGACATAATAATAAAATAATCAATGAGTTTAAATTTCAAAAATAGCAAACTTCAAATAATATTTATTATAATATTTATTATTAATAATGCATTTTCTGATTATAGTGCAACACGTTATGCAGCTGTTAGTGTAGTGGTGGATAATAAGCTTTACATTTTTGGAGGTATAAGCTTAGACAAGGCAGTAATTACAACAGATTCATTATTTTATGTGGATTTAACTAAAGATTTTGATGTTACAAATGTACCATGGGTAGAAAATGACAAATTACCTATAGGAATTTCTTGGTCTGTAGGTGCAGTTGGTGGACCAAATAAATCAACAATATTTTTATTTGGTGGAAGTATGGTAAATCAAATTAGTGGTAATCGTGATTTCACCAACTTGCTTTATGCATATGATGTAAATACAAAAGTTTGGAATGTTCCAAAAACAGCTGGTACTGCACCTATGATTAATCGTAGAGAAAGTAGTGCTGTTGCAGATGATAAAGGAAAAATGTATATTTTTGGTGGATTAGCAGATGGTGTTACTGGATCTTCTACCTTTCAAAGCTTTAATGATATGTATATTTTGAATACAATAGACCTGACTTGGAGTTTAGTCTCTACAACTAATCCACCATTGGCAACTTATGATCATACATCAACTTTATTACCTGATGGTAGAATTGTAATTATTGGTGGAAGAGAAAGTTATGGAGGAGGTACAATTATGGCCAACATGTATAAAGTATGCATTTATTTTATAGATTTGTATAGAAAATATTGATTATAAAAAGTAAAATATTAATATATTTATTTTATAGATAAAAATTTTTGATACAAGTAGTTCAAATTGGACAATTATGGTAAATATTTAATCAATTAAAATATAAAATTTACAAGATTCTTTAGAAAAAAAAACAATTTAGTTTCAATTTTCTTACACTTGATAAAATTTTAGACAGCAAGTGGACCATCACAAATCCAACCTCGAGCTGGCCATTCAGCTGTACTTTGTAATAAATTTTTAATTTAAAATTTTTTAGAATTTTTTTAAAAAATATACTAAAATTATATATGTTATGTAGCAAAGGATGGAAGAATAATTGTTTATGGTGGTGATGGATGGCCTGTAGAATCCACTACATTTCCTGAACTTCTGGTGTTAGATACAACCACAAATCCTTTTCAATGGTCAGCACCCAATTTTTCAAATGTTAATCGTGCCCTACCTGTAACATATCATTCAGCTAATTTAATTGGAGATCAAATGATAATAAGTTTTGGTAGATTTTTTACTTTTTAAAAAATTTTTGTTTTTTCAACTTTGAAGCTAATTAATAATTAATTAATAAATTGCATATGTATATAGGAAATATTACAAATGATGTTTCAAATCCAAAATCATCTACTTCAAACACTTATATACTTGATATTAAAGATTTTATTTGGAAGGCAAATTATTCAGCATCTGCAGTAACACCACCACCATCACCACCATCACCACCAGATACACCAACATCGCAATCAACATCAACAACATCATTAAACACTGTTCAAATATCAATAATAATAGTAATTGCATTTTTAGTTGGAATAACATTAGGTGTGATAGTGACATTCATAATTGTGAAATATCGAAAGAGAAGAAATATTGTAGAAATACCTAGTGATCAAGAGTCTCAACAACCCAGAAATACTCATAATAATGTTGGTGGTATTGGTCCATGACAACTCTATTAAGATTATTTATATGTATTTACAACCTTAAAAATTAAAGTTTTTTAATCTTGTGTCCTAATTTTATATTTATATTATTTTGTATAAATACATTAGGACTGAGTTTTGAATGTAATTACAATTTTATCATTTCATAATTTTCCAGCATGGAACCTTTAAAGGAAAAGCTGATTAATATATATCATCATATTGAACTAATTTCTACTCATTATGGTATTATTTTACCAAAATACTCTATTTTTATCTTCATGTATCAAATTTAATAGTTAGATGTACTCGAATTCATAAAATTCCATATCCCATTATTAAAAATGACAACAAAATTCTATTATACCCTTTGTCAATAATGTGCTTATGCTTATTCTGATTCTGATATTGTGAATACTTCTCAAAATAAAATAACAAGGTGATGGTTAGAATGAGTAGGATTCATGGTATGTTTCCCACGAGTCATAAGTCTGTTGTCCTTGGATTTATTTCTGTAAGACATATTATTCTGGATAATGACGCATACTATTATCAAAGCATAGATCAAGACATTCAAGTTCATTTGGTAGAATTTTTCTTAGAAAAGTAATCAGTGTGAAAAATCTTCACGCACGCAAGATTTTGAATTTAAACATCTGTTCCATTATCTAGTATGCTTATCTTTTTCAAACACACAGTAAGAGAAGAAAGGATAGAATCTACAAGGCAGCTCATACTAAATCCATTAAACAAGGATGGCTCAGAGGTGGTGATCCTTTGTGAAAGGATCTAGAAACTCTTATCAAAGAGATTAGTAATGTAAAACCACTTTTGTGCTCAGAACGCAAGGAAGCCATTACACTTGAAACAGATTTTGCTCAACTAATTTGTAGTCACGTAATCCATTAATTATACTTGCAAGAAAAGTAATGGTTGCCCTATGAAAAATAACATATGGAAAGGTACTGAATTGATGATGGTTTCCAAAATTTTGCAACTGTGAGAAAATCAAAAGGTTTTGCCATAAGTCGAAATTTGGTTTGACTTTGACTTTTGATTTAGTTTTGACATATAACTTTTAATTTCGTCTCTTCAGCAACCAACATATACTAATAATGCAACATACGGAATTCAATATAGTAAATCACGTGTATAAAAACATAATAATAGTCTTAAAGATATATATACTTGCATTTATCACAATACTTTGTTGGAACTCAAACCAAGTTAATTTTAATGATGCGAAAACAACTACTGAAAAATTTCAGGAACGTTATAAAACAACAAGTGTCAAAAGGAGGAGAAAATACCAAAGAAGTTGCAGCAAACTTAATGTTTGACGGAACTTGCAGCTGATATATTTACTCCTCAGGCAATGAAGATACTAGAATCAATTTAACAATGTTTACATCGTTAAGAAAACAAAAGTGATTTTCTCACGTGGCTTGTAACACAAAAAATTAAACAAGTTAAACAAATTAATAAGGAATAATTGACCTTGCTATAAGTTATATAATTATTTCAAAGACTATGAATCATTGGGCAAATTCTCAGAAAATGTAGTTAATCTTGGTCAAAAAATGCAAAAAAAAGATGATGCGTAAGTAGTGATAATTATTTTAAGAATGAGGCATTTTATTTTATTTTCAGTGAATGATTTCTTGGGAGAGTTTTAAGGACTTGGTGAGAAACAGAATTATCAGGCGTTGTAATGCAGCAATTACTGGCTCGATTTGTCTAGAACTATATAAGAAAAAAGTATCATGACTTGGTGTGACAAATAACAAGAAATGTAAAAAGTCATTACAGTTCACCGTGTAACATTGAGAAAAAAAATGAAACTATTCTGGCATCTATATATAGTGCCGATCATCTAAAGACATCACAAGATGTTGCCAATCTTTAAATGCTGATACTTTATTAAATATGGGCTATTTTACCAAAAACTCTCTATTTTTGCAATATTCTAGACATGAAAAATAAT